TTCTATAGAAATGTTGAATACAAGTCAAAAACAGGTAAACATTTCATTGTACAGGTCACTGGTTAGGCCACATTTGGAATATCGTGTTCAGTCTTGGATTCCTTACCTTAGGAAAGACATTGAATTGTTGAAAAGGGTTCAGATAAGGGTTACTAGAATGATGCCTGGGATGGAGGGGTTGTCATACGAGGAGAGGTTGAAATCTGTCAAATTGTTTTCTCTTAAAAAAAGAAGAGTTAGGGGGGTCTGACTGAGGTGATTAAGATTGTAAAGGGAATTGATAGTGTTGATGCAACATCTTTTTTTTCATACTTAACAGTGAGAGTAGTAGGACTAGGGGGCACAAATATAAATTTTGGCAAGGTAGGAGGCATCTTTAACTGAGACAGTTTATATTTGTAACAGGATGGTTGGCCTCTGGAATGGGTTGCCTTCGGATGTTGTGGAGGCAGTAAATTTTTTTGAGTTTAACAGAAATCTTGATAACTATATGAATGATAAGGACTGGCTAGAACATTTTTTTTTAATTATCTTAATTTAGTTTAGTAGATGGAACAGCCGAGATGGGCCAAACATTATTATATGTTATGTTAAAACTGAGACTCTGAATAAACACAGCCTTACACTGACACAGGCCTCTCACCTTCCTTTCTAATAGTAACTGTATTTCCCTGCAACACTTAATGGCAGATGTGGAAGGTAAACGTAAAGTAAGATTTGTCACTAGTTTCTAATCCAAAACATGAATATATTAAACACAAACAAACTGTAAAATCTTGTTATATTTTTAGAATTATATATGAACTTTTCTCTACATTAAAATACTTTTATTTCAAAGCTTTTGACCTTCTAACCAGAGCCTTCATCAGGCAACAATGGTCTCAAATGATATCATTTTCTACAACTGTTCATTGTTGCCCAATGAAGGCTCAAGTAAGAGGACCAAAATCTCACAAATAAAAGTATTCTAATGTAGAAAAGTCCATTTATAATTCTACCTATGTTATGAGTTTTAAACAACAATTTTTATTAACCATGAAATCCATTGCTTTACTCACCTCAAATTCCTTCACCACATGATCAAAAACTGGATATTTTGTTCTGCAAACATCAATCAAAGTTGTTGTAGAATTCAAATCTCTGAAGTATGATGTGTAGAGTTTCAGAAATGGCCCAAGGGTAACAAAAATATCAGATATCCTTCCACTCTCAGGCCTGTAAATAAGAATTAAAAAAGATAAAGCTGGTTTAGCATCCTGTTTCGGTACATAGTATGAGAGGCCAGAAAGTAATGAAATTATAGAACAATACTGACGAAATAGTTAGGAAGTGTGTGGTGATGGAGATGAAAAAGTTAGAAAATACGGGACAAAGATGAAAGAATAGTCAAAGTGTGTGTGTGGGACAATGATGAAATAATACTTAGAAAATGTGGTACAATAATGATGAAATACAGAGCTCACTGGTACTAAAAATGATTTCAAATCTAGAACAGGCCTACTACAGTTTTACATATCTGTAAGGAACTTGAGATAAATACGCGTGTCACATTTCCAAGCGATCTTTAATCAATATATGTAATATAGCAACACTGTTACAAGAAGATAGAATACTGGCCATTTAAGTTGAAAATCAAACCATTTATAGAGGGGAATTTTTGCAAAAGTATCTGGCATATAAACAAGTTTTAAATATAAAAAAATGAAAGTCAGAGAAGCCAGGTGTAACATTTTGAACAAAGAAACTCTTATTACACTCAGAAGTGGAAGATGATATCATTGAGACCACTGGAATGTTGTTACAACCAGAAGTAGATGATGATGATATCATTGAAACCACTGGAATGTTGTTATAACCAGTAATAGATGATGATGATATCATTGAAACCACTGGAATGTTGTTACAACCAGTAGTAGATGATGATGATATTAAGACCATTGAAATGTTGTTACAACCAGTAGTAGACGATGATGACATTAAGACCATTGAAATGTTGTTACAACCAGTAGTAGATGATGATGATATTAAGACCATTGAAATGTTGTTACAACCAGTAGTAGATGATGATGATATTAAGACCATTGAAATGTTGTTACAACCAGTAGTAGACGATGATGATATTAAGACCATTGAAATGTTGTTACAACCAGTAGTAGATGATGATCCCACTGAGATCAATGGAGTGTTGTAACACAAGATGATTCCATTAAGAACAATGCCTGTTAGTGGGTAAACTGATGTGATACTCTTTCTCGATCATGTTTCATGCCAAATTACCAAGTTACTCTATAGATAACTAAGTTACTTTACTCTATAGATAACTAAGTTACTTTACTCTATAAATAACTAAGTTACTCTATAAACAACTAAGTTACTCTATAAACAACTAAGTTACTTTACTCTATAAATAACTAAGTTACTCTATAAATAACTAAGTTACTCTATAAATAACTAAGTTACTTTATAAACAACTAAGTTACTCTATAAATAACTAAGTTACTTTACTCTATAAATAACCAAGTTACTCTATAAACAACTAAGTTACTCTATAAATAACTAAGTTACTTTACTCTATAAATAACTAAGTTACTCTATAAATAACTAAGTTACCATATAAATAACTAAGTTACCATATAAACAACTAAGTTACTTTACTTTATAAACAACTAAGTTACTCTATAAACAACTAAGTTACTTTACTCTATAAATAACCAAGTTACTCTATAAATAACTAAGTTACCATATAAACAACTAAGTTACTTTACTTTATAAACAACTAAGTTACTCTATAAATAACTAAGTTACTTTACTCTATAAATAACCAAGTTACTCTATAAATAACTAAGTTACCATATAAACAACTAAGTTACCATATAAACAACTAAGTTACTCTATAAATAACTAAGTTACTCTATAAATAACTAAGTTACTCTATAAATAACTAAGTTACTCTATAAATAACTAAGTTACTCTATAAACAACTAAGTTACTTTACTTTATAAATAACTAAGTTACTTTACTCTATAAATAACTAAGTTACCCTATAAACAAATAAGTTACTTTACTTTATAAACAACTAAGTTACTCTATAAACAACTAAGTTACTTTACTCTATAAATAACTAAGTTA